GATCTGGAAATGATATTTAATGGAATTTGGCTGGTTATGAATTTAAAGTTTGTAGAACTGCATATAATTTTTGGAAGCTTTCCTTGGAGTTGTCTGCCACTCATAGATGAAATTTAAATACCGCAAGACCAGTTTAGAAATTTTTTAAGTCCTTAGGTGTTTTGACAACAGGATTTGAGAAATGGGATAATAAAATTTTGTTTTTAACTGCAGATAAGTTCATGTATTGACTGGTTTAAAAAGGAAATACACTCAAATGTAGCAAATACATCTAGGTGGGCTTTTTCCCCATGGAAAATGAGAGCACCAGATTAACTGAGTCTTAAATTAATAGAAAACTATGCTGTATTACATTACCCACTCTGCAAAAGTGTTCCTATAAGATATGACAGGTAATTGAGTCATCAACATAAAATATTAATAATTAAGATGATACATTTCATTTTCTTAATGTGCTGTAGTTCCACATCTATCTAGGTGTAAATATGACACAGATTTACTGGGACACAGCAGTCACCTTGAAGCTCTTCTCAGTAACAGCTGATTAGCATTATCTCTTCCAAATGTAAAATAAGTTCAGCTTCTCTGACCTCATTAGAGGGAGCTGAGAGTGTCTCAGTAATAAATGCTCATCTAGCTTCTTCCAATAATTTGATTTATATGGAAGAAAGTTTTAATGACACATTCCCTGACACTAATAGGCCAGCAGCTCTTAAGGATGTAGAAGAAAGACTCTGAAAATAATTACACCTAACACTAAAAATTGAAAAGGGSGTTTGAACAGGAAAATATTGTTTTTTTTTCACTAGAATCTAGTCTGTAATACAGCTGTCTTTTCACCCACTTTCATTCATTGACATTAATGCAGAAGTAAGGCTAATGCATCCAGAARTGCTTGGTAATCTGTTTGTAAACTTAAACATATGCATCTGTTTGCTTTTGAATTTTAATTAATATAGTTTATGCCCATCCGAAATAATTACCATTCTGGCACACTCTTAGTCTTTTTTTTCCATTGAATATAAAGAATTTCTGTTGAATATAAAGAATTTCTGTTGAATATAAAGAATTTGGGTTGATAAAATGACAAAGTGGTCTGTGAACCTGAGAGGCTGCTTGTTTAAGTTTGGGTCTAAATCAAAAGTAGAGGAGGTGGTTAATTTAAGCTGTGAAATATTTAGAAACTTGTTTGCTTTATAATAGAGCAACATCGTAAATTTTGATTTCACACACTTTGCATAACATTATAATGTAAAAATAGAGATTGCAATCAGYCTGTTCCAAATATAATTTCATCTCTGTTAGTAGAAATTAATATGTCATCCTGAGTCCTTTACACCTATCAATTTAATCTGCAACTGGTATAAAATCAGCAAAATGGTATAAAAGCCTTTTTGTAGTCTGTGATTAGGGAGAATTGGTTACTTCAGAAAAGACAGGAATATTGGCAAATGATGCATAAACTTATAAGCTTGGTCTGTCACTCATTTTCTTTGGAGATGTATCAATATTCAGAATTTTCRAGATGGCAGAAGCAAAGAGTGACTTAGATCTTACTATTAGCAAAGGAGAACACCAAATACCAAAATGTCTGCTCCCCAACCTCCTCATTTCAGTWCTTGAAGTGTCACATGTCACATGGATAGCATCCATTTATCTTTCAGTTTAAAGATCAAAAATTCTCTTTGTGTTTTCGCAGTGCTCTGAATTTGAGAGCTTGATCCTGCTAAATCTGTTAGTCAGTTTAGGGCCCAATTACTAGTCACAGGAACAAATGAAAACTTCAGATAAGATGACACCATGCTGAGATAATTCAAAAGCAATCAGTCACACTACTTCAAGCTTTTTTTTTTCTTTTTCTTTTTTTTTTTCCTTGAAATGTGGCTCTTTGAAAGCTATTTATGAGGGGGAGAAAAAGCACACTCTAATTTTTTTTTTCCTTTGCTTGCAGAGTTCACCTAAAGCTACAACTCTGTGAGATGCATTATCTATCTAATATCTCTGCAGAGTTTTTTCCTCCCATGCAGGTATAATAGAACAGGTCTCTGTAGATGAAAGACGTGTTTACTTGTGGCTGGGAAGGCTGCACACAGATAAAGGATCTGACATCTCTGACACCTTTGTATTCAGCTGAGATYGCTCACAAGGTATTAAATAGATGGTTTTGACTCTTTAAATCTATCATGTTTGGGAGTTAACTTTTTCTATATGAGTTCTTAATGAACTTTCTGCTTTGGAAACAAACATATGTGCCACCTCTAGCAGTATTTTCAATAACAGCAGTGAATGATCAGATAGGTGAAAGCAAACTTGCTGCAAGTGGAGAAACTAAGGCTGACATTATAAACACATTTTTACTTCTCTAAATGTGACAGACAAACTGTGTCCATTTCATGCCCTTATCTTCAGTCCCCTGTATTAAATTACTGGTGTGTGGTTGTGAATGTTCCTCTGGTAGCTTTTTGTTGTGAAAATACACTTGCCCAGACAGTTTCCCTGGAGGTGTTAACATGAAAACAAACTATCCTGAACGGTATAGCCTTAATGAGGAAAGGCACCATCTGAAAGTAAGGGGACATTAGAATATGTGTTTTTTGGTTCTTAGGTGCTTTTCTGTAATCTAAGATATTGATTTCTGTCCTAAAAATAATATTTTTTTTTTTAAGAGGCTAAAAAGAGATTTTGATTTTCTTAAAGGCTGAAAAGAGGTTCTGATAAGGAGGCACAGCAAAAGAACACCGATATTGTGGGTTTTCCACATAGTGTGTTTTTCTCTTCTTCTCTATGTCTGAATTTTGGGTATTTCTTTACAGGCATTTGCTATGCAATTGCATGTCATGGATTGAGGTTTTCAACCTAAATGATTGTGTGGTTAGGTGATGTCCAGTTCTACCCCTAACTCTGCCTGTCCAGCACATGGGAAACAGCCACGGAATAAAACAGGGTTGCACAAATGAATGAGAAACAAAAGCAATGGGTGTGTCAGACCGGTGAAGTTTGTGGTTGAGAGTCAGAGTTTGAAAGCCTGGAGCTGTTTGTTTGGGCTGCCCAACAGCATTCTGGTACTAGGGAGGGCTGTGGATGATGATCATTTTGGAATTAGCCTTTGGAATGTTGGGGGAGCTTGGAGCAGTGCCTGTAGCAATGCACTGGATATGGATCCCTGCTATCACCAGCTCTGCAAGCCAAGGCAGAAGATGCCCTAAAGCTCAGCCTGGCATGGTGTTTCACAGCCCAGCACCTTCTCTCAAGGGTAAGTGATGGTAACCTTGCATTTAGGGCTCTGATCACAAAACTTTCACTAGAGACAGTTGAAAGTAAAGCCAGGGATAGTGTTGCTCCTCTGGAGCACTAAGAGTCTTGTGACTCAAGCACGCATCCAGGCAATATGTATCCAAGATGCCATTCCTTCCCCAGCTTCCCATTTCCCATCTTGTAGGAAAGGGTACATAGATTGGAAGATACTTTTGTTCCTGGTCAAGCTGTGCTCCCCTTAAAGATTGGCTCCCAGGCATAAAGACAGGATCACGTGGTGGAAATGCTCTTCTAACAGCTGTTTGTGCACTTAATCTTTCATAGCTAATGACTTAAATGCATTTTAAAGTATTATCATGGGACTTCCCCTGTTTCTCTATTTTAGTTCAMAGTAAAACTGAATTCTGTCTGAAGTGCAGTGAGTGAGGAGATATAAACTTGATGCATTTTCATGAACTATCTCAAATATTTCAACCAAAATTTCGTTAATAAATAAGGATTTAGACACCCAGAGTGTGGGATTAATGGCTTATATCCAAACCAGTGATTTGCAGAACTGTCATTTTCTTGGAAGTTAGGAGCTATTAAAATTAGTTCTAAATGTTGAGATTTCTGTAGTACTGAAAACGAAAAGCCATCACTGTTTTTTAAGCCATGTCAAGGCACATGCTACAGTTTTGTTGAAAGGCTTTTGAACATATTAGAAACATTTTGGTTTGAAAAGACTGTAACAAAGAGAGCAAAAATACTTGTCTGTAGGGAAATTATTTTAAATTTAAACTCTTGTCGAATGAGTAGAGAACTGCTTTCCAGGGAAGTTGTAATGAAGTTTGTAGAAACTCAAATAACCTGATCCCCTAGTTCTGCCTCTGCCTCAGTAGTTAGCAGGTTCAGCACCTGTGTGCAGGTGTTTAATTAAGATGCCCAGATACGAACCAGTTTTCTAAACAAATGCTCCWGTCTTGTATTTATCTGTTTTTCTGTTTTTGTTGAGGTGTTGCTGCATTTCTCACAACACAGCCCATGGCTGGCACAGGATGCACAGTGTGTGAGCTGTGCAGAGCCTCAGCTCCATGGGCACTTTCTCTGGGCTCCCRAGGAAGGTGCTTTACCCTCGTTACAGGCAGTGGCACTTCCACAGAAGAGATGTGCTATGAAATATCTCACACTGCTCCTTAAGGTCACAGTAACAAAGCTTTGCAATGGTAGCATTTGTTATCATGAGGCAACAGTACTGTGAGTGTGTATATCTATATATATTCTCATATGTATACAGTGGGTTCTTTTATTTTTAAGATATTCCAGCTTAAGAAAACTTATATTTAGGCTTTTTTTTTTTTTTTTTTTTTTTTTTTTTTTTTTTTTTTTTTTTTTTAAGCTTAAAAGAGCTTGTGCTTGTCAAGAGAAGAATCACTGCTTACTTTGGCCTTCTCCCAAAAAGACTTCAATGACAAGAGGACCGCAATGGAAAAATCCTCCTGAGCCTTTCCTCAGAGGCTGCAGCTCCTGGGACACCCAGCTGAGATGCAGAAGTCAGCGAAGTGTCAAACTGAGTTAACTTTGTGGTACTCCAGACATGTGCCTTGAAGGACACCGTGCACAGCCCTGCCTCRGTGACTCGTGCCTGACTCTGCCAATTCCTGGAGCTCACAGAAGGTTGGGAGCAGGCAGTATGAAGAGCTGCATAAACAAAGTGCTGCTGCATGGTCAGTGTCAGCTTTGCTCTGTGAGCCCAAAAAGCCAGTCTGCAATGTGTCTGTTTGGAAATGACTGTTAGTTATCAGCTGGATACAAACCTCACCTGCAAGGAGGGTGTTCATCATCCCTAAGGAACGCTGGTGACATTTGGCTGAGAAGGATATCAAGATGGGAAAACCCTCTTGCCATAATTTCAGTGTGATTATTATCTGAAAATATTTTTTTCTTAATCATTAAGCTAAGACAATTACAATGTTGCTTTTGGGAAAATAGGACAGCACTATCTCAGCACTCAGAGCAGTGCACTGGAATTGGCACTGGACAAGAACTTGTTTGTTTCTGTTATCAGTTAAAACCTGAATGCTTGGAGCTCTGGGTACAGAGAGTTTGCTGAAGGAGCCACTAGGCGGTGAGAGGGCTCCGTGTCATCGCTCTTCCTCCCCASAGTGCCTCAAATCTTTGTGCCCTGCTCCTGGAAGGTGCTGAGCATCTTTGCTCCCTACAGAGGACTGTCTGCAGCCACCCATCCTTGTGAAGCATCTCCTGCCTGGGTAAGGGGACCTTTTCTAAATCAATCTGCTTCCACTGACAAAGCCAGGTGTGATTACTGACATCCAGGTAACAGCTGCTAATTCAGGATCCTTGAGGATCTTTTCCTCTCTACCAGCACAATCTCACCCCACTGCTGACAAGCTCTCAGTGTCGTTTAACTCGAGTTTTGGGATCAGTTGTGATTATCTTGTAGGATGGTGGCTGGGAAATACTCTTCTAGCTGCAGTGTGAAGTGGAAAGGAATGAAGAGGTGGAAGGGCTTGCTGCTGCTGCTGCTGCTGCTGCTGCACAAGGAAGCAGAAATACCTGTAGGGGAGAGAGATTTGGGGAATTGTGTGAAAGGGCATCTCCTTTACACACCGATACTTCTAGGATGTAATGTTATATAAAGGGAATACATTGAGAAATTACAGTAAGCTGCAATAATAACCACATACCACTGATTATGACATGACAATACCATTCCTGCTTTTCTGCAACATGCTTTCAAGAAATCAAAAAYAGCTGGCTTGAACTAGAGTTAGTTGATTAAAGAGTGGCAGGTAGCATTAAAAACCATCGTATCATTTTTCTGTCAATGAAATATAGCTCCCAACAGCATATTTCTTACATATTTGCTCATTCAAACTTAAGATTGCAATAATTTAAGATACCCTTTTAATTAAAGCAATAATTAAAGCATGGTAATTCTGCTGCAGAGCCAGTGMAGTGAAGGTACCATCACTTCGTAACCAAGGGAGGGTGCTACACTGGGCCCTGAGTAAGTAATAGAAACACAAAGTAGAAGACCCTCTCTGCCCTAGATTATTTACATTTTCAAAGCCAGAGAGACAGATCCAGTGAAGCTTTTTTCCCCCCCTTTATCCTGTCATTTTAGTTCTCCTCTTATTTTCCTTTAATCAGCCTATTTCCTCCTGCTTAAACACTTACTGTATCCCAAAGAGGATACTCAACCAAACTATTCCAGTTGGTTCCTTCATTTCTTGTAGTTTATAAGCTACCATCAAGGAGTGTTTTTATTAAAGAGATAAACCTGCCTACATTTAAAAATCCTTCTAAACAATGTTGGCAATCTTTATGATACCACATAAATGGAATAAGGACCATAACAAAATAAATCTCTTCTATTATGGACCTTAAACCTTGTTCCAAGTTATAAGTTATAAAACAAGGGGCAATTAGCAATAAAATAACTAAGCTATAAAGTAATAATAGGTTTCTTTTTCCGTGATAGTAATAGTTCCTCAGTAGTATTATGTGATAAATAAACAAAAAGCTGAATGGATCTACTAGATATAGTAGATCTATTTTTAATCTCACTTGTACTAGTGTAATTCAGGAATAACTCCAGGGTGAAACATTTAAAGTTAGGATAAATGTAGGCAGGATTCATGTAAAAATATAATTATTTTAAATAAATGCAAATAAACATTTAATTTCCCTCTAATTTTTGCATTCCATTTCCAAATGAGTTTTTGCACATTAATCAAGTGAAGAACAAGTACTTCAAAAATGGAGAGGTCTTTGTAAGGCTCTGAGACAGAACCTGAACATCCCTTATTACCTTATTATGCTTATTACTGAATTTGACCATGTCAACAAAAGTTCTTTCAAAATGGGCAGAGGACCTTAATAAATTTGTATGCACACACAAGCACCTAAAATTTACTACAAGTTCAGCAGCCTTCTGGTATGTGAGAATTGGCAGCAAGAGGATGATGAAACTACCCACATCTAAATACAAGTACTGCACATCCCACAGTTCTTTCCTACCAACCTTTTTGCCATGAAAAGAGCAAGAGACAAAGAAAAAAAAAAAAAAGTGGAGCTGTCTTTTCAGGAAGAATATTTTTATACCCATGTTTATCTGATTGCAAACCAACGAGCAGGAAGTTTTCTTAGGTAAATAGTAAATTATGCCACCTGACTGGGCAAAATGGGCAATACTACTTCTTGGCAWAAAGGCTTTGCCTTAACAGAAATGTTTCCTTTTCCACTTTTCAAGTCAAAGCAAAATCCGTCTCTTTTCTCTTGGTCCTTCAACACACTACTGAAAAGTAGCAACTCTTATCAGCAATGACAAAGTGCTTTCTGGCACTGGGATTCCTGCTGGGATATTGGACCTCTSGGAGGAAAAGCAGAAGGGAAAATTTGCCACGACTTGATGTGTTATTTGATTTGKCTATCCTGCTTTGGTTGTTGTATGATAGAGAAGCAGAAGGGAGCATCTAAACCAAAACTTAATCTTTAACTTACACTTATCTCTTCATTAACTGCAGAACTTATCAGTAAACTGAGATAAAATGTCACTGTTCTTCAGGTGGAAGAGAGGMCCTTTCCAGTTGAGGCTCTCAGCAGCAGCAGTGAAGGCAGCTGCAAAGGGGAACACCTAGAGATAAGGACTTTCTTTTAAAATATCATCTGCATTACAGCAAAACAGAGCTGATAAACAGGGTCTCACTTGTTTCACTAAAGGGTTGGCTTGAGCATGGGCAAGGGCTGCTCATTGCCATTCCCCAAAACACCCTCAAGGCAACTCAGATTGCAACACTTCAAGAGCCAACTGCAGGAGACAGCACTGGGCATGGCAGCGTCACCTGCCAGCCAGGGCCAGACCTCACCTGTGCTTCCCAACAAGATTTTCATTGCTGCTACACAGTCTATTGATTTTGATGACACTTCTTTAGAACCTGCAAATGCAGTCAGGCTCTGGGAGCTGGCATTCACCCCCCTCCAGGTGTCTGGATCTCTGCAGCTCCTGGTCATTGCAGCAGCACTGCATGTGGTCAGGGCTGGGCTTGAGAAAAGGGCTCTCCTCCTCCTCCTCAGGTCTCACCTACTCAGCTGGAGAGGTAACTGGGCCTCAGTTCCTGTTTCCACCATAGGTATGCCATTTATCAATATTCTCAAAGGAAGTTAAAAAATAACCCCATTATCTCAGTCATCTTCCTTGGTGGTGATTGCTTAGAGAGAATGTTCCTTTCAATGGAGTCCACCATTGATATARTAAATTATTTCYTACTGCCATAAACATCTTTATCTCYYTTCATGTCAAAWGTACTTTATGTTATTTGCAAACCAGATAAGTTCTGACAGTTTATCTCTGGGCTGGTTGCAATCCAGTGTTCAGTTCTCACTGGCACCCTCCTTCCTGCACACACCTGAAATTCTGTGTTGCAGGGAGGGAAGTGAGTGAAGCACACACTTTAGGAGAGACAAGGAGGCCTTCAAAGCACATTCAGGAGCTGTTTCTCAAATCTTTTTAAGTTTAGTTGATATTTTATCAAAGAATCATSCTAGTTAAAGAATCAACTTGGATTTCTTGTTAAATCACTGCAGAAGAACACTAAGTTTTCTTTTAACAGTGTTAACGAGATGGGAGGGACTGAGATGTAAAATGTTCTTACTATTAAGGAGTGAAGGAGGAGAAAGTGCACAATAGACTGTCATGCATTATTTCTAAAAATAGAAATACTACATTTTTCTAAAGAGCGGCAACTGCTCCTTTAAATGACATCAAATAAAATACAGTTGACATTGAACACTGAAGCCTTTGTTTGGTATCACCCCGACTTTATCATCCTTTCAAATCATTTTCCCCCTCCTCATAACACTGAGATATTTCAGCCTTGCCTGAAATCTTTCTACAGCTTCATTAAACTGACTCCCTTTCTGACAGAAGCTTTTCCAGTTTCAATCTAAATGCTCCTGAGCAGCACTCTGTGTATTAATGGTGCATCAACATGAAGTTCCACCAAGTACTCCCCTCCCTCCCTCTAGTACAGCAAAACATAGTTGCTACCTAATTTCTTGTTCAAATTATTAGTATTTTGTACACTCTGCTATTCGCTATCTTCTCACATTCATTTTCCAAACTTTGCCACTGTTCCTTACTTTCGTTTATGAAAGAAAGTATTTTTGTGATATTCTATGATCTTTTCTTGAAGGTTGATCTGTTTTGAAAATACCACAGAATAATTCCAAATATCCCTAGGATATTTTGCTTGGTTGATTTTTCTTTTTTTCCTTCACAGCATTTTAGCTTCCTTGTTTCATTTTCTTAAACAGTTAAATGCTAATGAAACATGATGAAGACGTACGTCTCTTGTCTGCATCTTTCAGGGTAATTTGCATGTAACCAAGACAAAAAGAAAAAGATACCAGCACCACAGCACACATCCTCTGTAAAAGCAAGCTACCCTTTTGTGATTCTGACATTAAAAGGTATGTGTTCATTCAAGTCACCATAAGGTGTCAACTATATATATATATATATATATATATATATGCTCAATTTTAGGGTGAAAATGCATAGAATTCAGCAAAATGGAAAGTTTGAATGGAAGGAGGGGAAACCATATATGATGGAGACAATTTAAATCCATAGCCTGAGCTTGGTTACTGCAGCAGCCATATTCTGATTTCTGCTCTGAAGTTCTTGATCAAGTTTGGCATAACCAAAAGACCTATTTTGTACATAAGTGAACCTGAGAAGCCTGTCAAATTTTCTACAATAAGGTTAAATGAGGGTGCATTCAGTGGCCTCTGTTGTAAATGTTTTCTGAATCAAGGTTTGGAAATGGCAAGGYAGAAAAATGAGTGAAATAATACATGTGAAAATGAGACATGCAGCAGGATTAGTGGTAAATGAAGATAATAGCCCTGATGTCTCTCTCAATGAACATCTGATTGAAACCTTGGAATCTCTTGACCATGGCAAAGCTAGGTTTCAGCCCACCTTTGTACTCCCTGTACAATTCCTGTTCCTATCACGTTCTTCTGGGAGTGCAGTGCCTTGCACTTTTCCAGAGCCCCTCACAAATCCACCTATCATCATCCCGTCCTCTCCTCAGCTCATCTGGGAACCAGCCCCCCTCTGTGAGACCCAGCTCCCATGTGGAATGCACTGTATCTGCCCAAAGGACCAGTGGGAGGGTAATCTTTGCTCTCGTGGGACCCACTGCTGGCTAAAGTGAGATTGAGCAGCATCCCACAAACAGAGCCACTGCCGGAATCCCCAAAAGCACACAGCAACAAAAAGAGAAGCAAACAACATCAATRGCCTCTGTGCTCAGCTTTTACCTAATGCTCATCTCCCAGTATCCGGAGTCCTTTTGGACATGTCCTGCTGTGTTTTGGCCCAGATGATATCCTGGATCTACCTGGGCACTRCCCCAGCAAGGGTCAGTGTCTTGTCTGTGCCAGGAAACTCAGAATCCGTTTACCACTGCCCCACTCTGCAACTCATGGTCTTGTCTCCTCTGCCCTGTGCAGCCTGGGAAGTCCTCCTGACCATRCCTGTGGTCACACTCCTACTTCCTATTGTCCTCTGTAAAATGGGCTTCAGTTGCCAAATATTTGCAGCCACTTGCACAGTCCCGGGCATATCCAGACTAGAGTTTTAGTTCTAGGGTGCTTGTTGCAGAATTCCTGCTCTTAAGCCTCAGCTGCAGAAACTCAGCCCAAAAATGGCTGTAACCTAAACTAACAAAACCTCATTCTCTAGCATGTCTTTGTTGCTGAATCCCAGAAGCTTCTTGGTCTCATCAAAAGTGTCCAGATTTTTTCCATGCTTGCTTCAAAAGTTCCTGTAATACTCACTGCTGCTTTAGGACAAATTGCTGCTGCTGTGACTGGTAATGAAAATATTTGAAGGGGATTGTTGATTAGATYCACCTCTGAGGGTTGAGTTTACTGTTTTATGGAGAAAACAATGTGAGAAGAAAAGGGTACTTTGACCATCACTTAAGGTTGGGGTCTGGCATTTAAGAAACATTTCTGTATTTAAATAATATGGCCAAATTTCACCTCTCCATCCTAAAAATCACYTCCCAGTTTGGATTTTCTTGTCTTGGTTAACAACTCGTTTCCATAGCAGAGCTTTGCAGCTTCACTCTCCTGCAAAAYCAGCATTTGGTCTACTTCAGTACCAGTGTTTCCAGTGCCAAGAGATGTCAGGAACTGAAACTATATGGGGACTATATGTACTGTCAGAGGCCTTCTCAAAGCTTTACTTCAGAAAGGGAAGTAAACTTTGTAACCTTGCTTCTAAAGGAAGGTTGGAAAATGGGGCCCATCCTTCATACAGCCAGGATCTCCAGCCAAAATGAACAATGTTTCCCTCTTCTTGTTCATCACGCTTGGACTTTCAATCTTCCTTCTCTGTCAGAGAAAAAGAATTGAAATTATTAATATTACCATAGTCTATCAACCTAGCAATGCATCAAAGTTAAAGAGTTACGGATGGACCTGCAACTATACCTTTTGTTACCAGTATAGAATATTTTTAGCATAAAAGCATTGGGTTTTGACCTTGGAGTCCTTCCCATCACAGCCTGATACAGCAGCTGTTCTGAATTTAACCCAMGTATTTAGCCATCCAAGGATTACTCTGCTAATAACCTATTCAAGATGCTACAGTAACAACTTCAAGCAAAAATGAAAGGAAAACYACAGGAATAAGAAAAACTGCACTTTAAAATCTTATCTTGCAAAAAAAAATATGACAGAGAGATTTGTAAATACTAAGTGACTTCTGCCCTTACCAAGTGTTTCAGTATTGACACTGTTTTTATTCAACCATAAAAGCTATTTGTTTTCTAATGCTCTGCAGTGTCAGGCTTGTTTTCCCTTGCTCATGAGAAATTTGGAGTGTGTGTCAGTGAATCCATTTTTCATCCTTCCTCTGGCAGTCTGGAAAGAAAATCATGTCCTGGKGTGATCAAGTACAGCATCACCAGCTGGGCAAGGGAGAGGATTGTCCTGCTCTGCTCTGGCCTCACCTCRRGTGCTGGGGGCAGTTTGGGGCACAACAATACAAGAAAGATATTAAACTATTAGAGAGTGWCCRARGCAGRATTATGARGATRGTSAAGGAACTTGGGGGAAGCCATGTGAGGAGTGCCTGACCACTRCTCTGYTCAGCCTGGGGGAGGCTGAGGGGAGACCTCACTGCAGTTACAGCTTCCTCATGAGGAGAAGAGGAGGGGCAGCACTGATCTCTCCTCTGTGGCGACCAGGAACAGGACCCAAGCAAATGGCCTGAAGTTGTGTCAGGGGAGGTTTAGGCTGGATATTAGGACAAGTTTTTTCATCCAGAGGGTGGCTGGGCACTGGAACAGCTCTCCAGGGAAGTGGTCATGGCACYGAGYSTGACAGAGTTCAAGGAGTGTTTGGACAATGCTCTCAGGCACAGAGTGAAACTTGGAGTTGTGCTGTGCAGCGCCAGGAGTTGTGCTCAGCAATCTGTGTGGATTCCTTCCATCTCAAGATATTCTATGATTCTGGAAATGAAGAAAAAGAAAGGTGAGTCCCCATGGCTGTCAGTGTCTTCAAGAATTCCCCCAGGGCTGTCTTCCCAGAAAATACAATTTGACGTTTGTGTACTGAAAAATTGATGCAACAAATGTTTCTTCAAATGCTACCCCTAATTTACTTATAAAGCTGAAACTAAAGCTGTTCACTCTTTGGTCATTTTTTCAATTTTTTTTTTTTTGTTCGTTTCAGCAACTTGACTATGAGTCAAGTTATAAAACATAGAAGGTTTTATGTGATAAAATGAGTACACTTTCTCCTGGCTTGAAGAGTTTAAATAAAACTGAAACAAGCTCAGCACTTTAATATTTTCTGCTTTCTAGTGCTGAAAATAAACGTATATTGCAGGATGCCTGTAATGTTGAATTTTATCCTTCATTTTTAGATAGCATCCATTTCAGCCCTGTGCTTCTCTCTAAGGCAGTGATGTCCTCCTCATCCTCTTCAGCATTGGAGATGGAGATCTTCCAGTACATTGATGATCATCAAAGTGATTTCATCAAGGTAGGAACTACATTGCAGTGGAATGATGAGCGCTGAGCTGGTGCCCCAAGAGCCTTGGCTCTGCATGTCAGAGGAGTGATTGTCACAAAGGTGATCAGCTAGGCTCCAGGTCTGCAAAGCTGMAAGGGAACAGACTGCTGGGGACCCTTGGGGTGAAAGAGGGATTTGCATGGACTTCCACAAAAGAGATGTTTGAGGGCATGCTTTGAGTGTGTTCAGAGAGGCTCCACTAAGCCCAAATGCACCTGCATGGGGGATGCAAGCCAGGATGCTCGATCTCTGTCTTTACTTCAGAACTGATTTTTGTGGGTTTGCTCTTTACAAGGAGAGGACTCTCGGTTTCACGCTGGTTTGTGATTTCATTTTTGTTAGCCCCCTGTGAAAAGGCAGGAACATAAATAGTCTGTATCAGTTATGCTTTGAATCTATGAGCACTTCTGAATCCTCATGAGTTTCACCAAGGTAATTGGTACATAATGCAGTTTCTGTAAACTAGTCAGCATCCAGTGTACCTCCTCTTCCACTGGATTTTAGATCCAGAGTTGACAATGTGAATGCCTAAGTGTGAGCACAGTCCCTGTTTAGAAGGTAAGGAATCTCAACCCTGAGGGGCATCTCAGCAATTCCTCTCTATCCTGCAACCTTAGAGCATCTATGATTTTGCWGTGATGATACAGAAAGGAAACCATCTTCCAGTGTGAGATTTCTGCTGCCAAGGGCCAAACACCACAACATTCTGGGTCACCTAACTGCACTTTTCTTCCTGTGCAGGATCTGAAGGAATGGGTGGCTGTGGAAAGCGATTCTGTTCAACCACATCTGAGGAAAGAAGTAATACGAATGATGGTGTTGGCAGCAGACAGACTTGCAGCACTGGGAGCCACTGTTAATTCAGTAAACTTGGGRTCACATCAGGTGCTTCTCTGATTCTTGGACTGAAAACATCATATTTTCACATGGTCTACCTATTGAATGCAGTGCTATGTACATGTATGTTATGATATAGTGCTATTTTTTGAAAGCTAGATAACAATTAATCAGTAGGCCTGTAGCTACATGGTACCTGCTGAAATCAGGTCTGAGAATTRTGTGCATACTGGGAACCCAAATGCAAATTGATGTTCTCTGCATAGAAGGGAGTTTGATGCTTTTAACTGGAGGACAGAAATTTGCTAAATCAAAAGGACTGAGTTTTTTACTGGGGCTCGTTTTTCCATTCTTGTGTGTAATGAAGCATGAGAGTAAATGCATCATTTGTCACTGAACTCTGTGTGAGGGAGGTAGTTTTTACAAGGAAAATGTTGCCAGGCAGAAAGGGTTAGCTACCTAGAACATCATCTTTGGTTTTCAGAGCTTCTGACAAATGATCCAAGCTATTTTCTTAATGGTTGTTGGAAAGCAACAGGGAAGAATTAATCTCTGAGAAACCTTTGTTTCTAATTTACTTACCTTACTGTATCTGCAGGCTCTTTTCTGCCCTGGGCTGTTACATTTCTACTCTAACAGGAAATCAAGTTCCATAATAATGATTCCCTTTTCTTTTCTCTGAAGCTTCTGGTGAGGATTCTGATTTTTAGTTCAAGAACTCTGCAGTACAGTAACATTGATATTTCAGGCTGTGTTATTTGATAGTTGTAGAGAATGCAATTGGGCCGTGTGGAACTCTGTGCTGCACAGACCCTCATTAGAGGATTAGCCTTAACCTGTTTCTAAGATAGTTTGACACAGCTGCTGCCTCCTGCCAGCAACACTTTTTTTGATTTCTATATTTGAGGTTACAGGCCTCCTGCCCTCTCTCTGTGGTGAAATCAACCCTCAAATTAATTTGTGTGGCTTTTGACTATTTCAGTGTCACAATAGACTCTATAGCACAAGGTTACCTCTGTCATCTCCAGTGCTGGGAAGTGAGAGCTTAGTGAGGAGGGCATTTATGAAGATAAAATGTTAGAAGAGCTCTACAAAGTCTAGCAGGACATAAACCGTAGAGGAGAATTTCTGATTAGGTTAGAATAGTTTCTCTCAATAGGTTAGAACTGGATTCAGTCGGATTTGTGCACCTAATCAAATCAAAGTCAGTTGAGTGTAGAAGTATTTTCAGTACTGAGAATTCCAGATTTTTTTTGTACATTTGTAAATTTTGGAAGGTYTGGTTTCCTTTAGTTGCCTTTTTTCTAACCTTTCTTCACAGTTGCCTGATGGCCGAGTSCTCCCACTGCCTTCTGTGATCCTTGGGGAACTGGGGAAGGATCCACAAAACCCCACTGTGTGTTTCTATGGTCATGTGGATGTGCAGCCTGCCAAGAAGGAAGATGGCTGGAACACTGACCCCTACACACTGACTGAAATCGATGGTGTGCATCTTTCCACAAGCTTTGTATCATTATTTGAATACACGACTGGGATTCTTAGTGGGAGAAATGTTCCTGAGTATTTAACCAAAGCAGGAGGACTTCTCCTGTGGGAATCTTTGGAACATGTCCAGCAGCTTTCAGCTTTGATGATTGTKCTGTGACTAGTGAGACCCATCAGTGACTGCCTAATATTTGGTGTAGAAAAGCAATGTGAAGTTAAAAATTCTTTATAGAGAATACAGTAAAAATTCTTGTAGGATGTTTGCATCAACCATTATCCTCCCTCTTACCTTCTGCTCTTGCTTCATGCAACTTTCATACTTCCACCTGGAATGCTGGAGCTAAGGAGCTTTTGTGGTGCAAGACTCTGAGGCCCCCTTAAGGTAATTACCCTTCCAGCACAGCTAGCTGACTGAAGGAACAAAAATGATGGATAGAGGATCAGCACAAAATAAGACCTCAGAAATCCTGATTCCCAGGCCACAGCCATTAAGTTGCTCTTCCACATCATCTGGGATCAATTCCCAACAGCCTTACTGGYATAATTCTTCTGCCTTATTCCAGTRTATATCCAGTGGGGRCTGCTACAGAAGTTTATRCACAGGGGCAGATTTTGTTTTCATGCACAGTGAAAACATGATGTACAATTGAAAGAGAAATTACACACTCAGACTTGTAGCTTCGTATTTCTGCCCTTGGCATTTATCTGTTGGGTTTTTGCTGTTTGTTACCTGGTCTGAATGATGTGTCCAGTAGCTGCATATTGTGCAAATCCTTCAAGCATATCTGGTATGAACAAACAGTTCCTGAGAAGAAAAGTGAAGCTTAAAAATTGGCATGCAGCACAAACCACAACRTGATATACATAAAAGGAAGGAAATGGGAAAAATGTGTACCAGTCCACTGGAAAACACCTGCAGTGTCATCACCTTATTTAAAATGAGTCAGAAAAAATCCTGACACTTTTGACACTTGACACATCACTAAAGCTTCTGTGGAAACTGGAATTTGCCAATTACATTGAAGTGATGAGAGAAAATTCAAAGATTGCTTAAAACCTTCCCTYTTTTTAAGGAAACCTCTATGGGCGTGGAGCAACAGACAATAAGGGACCTGTTCTGGCTTGGATAAATGCAGTGGAAACTTTTAGAGCCTTAAAATTAGTAAGTATTAGTGAAGACTTCTTTATTATTACTGCTAATTTTTATTATTTACTGTTATTTGTTATTATTTATTATATCTCTGGAGGGATGTATTTACATTCCTAAGTTAGACAATGCACTCTGTCCCAGTAGACTACATACACTTTGAAATATCAGCTTCTTTCTAATGCAACACTGAGGGCACTGGTCCCACYCCAGTAAGAATTAGTCTTTGAGCATTTCTGTTTTGAACAGTCTGTCTGCAATGTAAATTCTACCTTGCTGCCATTGCCCTGCAGAGCAAAACCCATGGGGAAGCATTCAGTAAGTGTTGCATACATCACACAGCTCTGATACCCTGTTCTCTTCAGAGCTTTTAAAATGGTGAAATAACAGACYTTACACAATACTCATGAAGACTCATCTCTGCTGTTGCATTCTGCTGATCTTTGGTTTTGTCTGCCTACAAGATACCTTCAATTTGTGTGTCTGTGTGAAGAGAATAAGTATCTAAAATATTCATACAGAATGGGCTGTTACATCACCAACAGATTGGATTTATCAAAGCAAATACCTTGAATGGGTGCATTCACCAAGTACAAAATCACTCAGGGTCTGACATATTTCTGAGGTCAGACATTTGCCTAGATTACTACAATGGCCAACATCTTCATCTTACAGCTACTCCAAAATTATTAAATTATTTTATCCCCAAAGAAAAGCTAAACCAACATATATTCTAAGCTTATAACTCAGTTGACTATTATCCTTTAAGGTGAATTAGCATGACATAGTCTGTTAGTGTGCTGAAAAAGAGTTTTGTGACTCTTTGATGACATTATGGCACAAATTGAGCATTAAGATTTGATTTTTTAAAAGTTGTCTTACAAMCTTCTGCAAAACACATTTTTCTTGCATCTATAGTATCGAATTGATCTCGGTATCTCTTAGGTGCTAGAAAACACACTTTATTTGCCTCAGGAGTRGTCATTGTAAGTGGATATGGTTATGGGTCTGGCTTTCTGCATCTTTCCAGCTTTTCAAATCACTAATAGCTAGCCTGACATTTTAACAAGTAAGCAAAAATAATTTTTTTGTCATTTGAAGTCTTTTTCTAGAAAACAGCACAGACCATCAAACAATAGTCATGAACAGTTTGTTTCTAAAATTTGTGTGGCCAGTTGATGAATCATCCRTGAACCCACCCATGACACAAGTTCATTTAATTTTACATTTGTTCTTGCCTTTAATCTGAGCATTGAATTKAAAGAAAAAACATTTTAAAACCTCTAATGAGAAAATGAATTGTAACAGGAAACTAAGTTGAAATTTATATCTCTTATGGGATGTGTCAGCATTTTCARCTCCCACTATTCCATAATAAAAGTTCCCTTAATTACTCTTGGAAATGCATYCTTATCAACCAGCAGGCTTGCAAATTCATGAGTGCTAAAAAGACAATTATAGTAGAATCACTGACAACATTTTTATCRCCGTGTAAATCTGGTGATAGACAACATTGGGAAAACCACAGCCAGTGGCTCCCACATGGGCAGTAACACTGGAAATATAAGAGGCAGGAAATTTTCAGTGAAAATGCAATTGCTATTACACAGTTAGAATTTCCAGAGCAATTAGAATATTGAATAGCTCTGAGAGAAAGCCCATTTAATGAGGCATTCCAGCAAGTTTTCTGAAAACACAAAAAAGAAAAAAAGATATCACTTATTCCTCTTTTAAAAATGAGAACTAGGCAAAAACATGAGGAACTGAACAAGTTTTTCTGGGAACCTATATGCATCCATCACTGGGTTTTCTACTGAAGCAAGTTATATATACTACATACTTACCCTACATACTTCTTTTCCTAACACATTTTGTATGGCATGCACATTTTAAAATGCTAGTTTCTTACCYAGACTTCTCTAATTTTCATGTAGGCTATGCCAGTGAACTTCAAGTTTGTAATTGAAGGCATGGAAGAAGCAGGATCCTTGGGGCTAGAAAAGTTACTTGAAGAAGAAAACCAGAGCTTCTTCTCTGATGTTGATTATATTGTAATTTCGGACAACCTGTGGCTCAGCAACAAGAAGCCTGCCCTTACCTATGGGAGTCGGGGAAATGCCTGCTTCTTTGTGGAGGTAAAGGACACAGGTTCATTTGGACTGAGTCTCTGACAGACAGCAATGATGTAGCTGTAATTACATCTGCATGCAGAGAAAGACTGAAGGAAAGCTTAATATTTACAAATACAGAGCTTTTTTCCACATCCCTTTTGGCTTCTGCAGATTTCCCTCCTCATTTCAGTTCAATTAACCTTATTTACTACGATTAACTTCTCTTCAATCATTTCTGCACCTACTTATCTCCCCATGATTCCTTTCCTATCACATTACTCTCCTGCCACTCTCTCAGCCTCTTCTCATCCTCCCCTCAGCACATCAAATCTGTTCTCTTGCAGCATCCCTCCACCTGCTCTGCCCCTTTGCAGCAGATACTGCTTTGTACAATGAATCAGCATAAAGGGACTCAGTGTGGCTGCATCTCTGGGTTTAAAAGCCATACAAATTTTTTKCAACCATTGGCAGGAGCAAATAAAGTTCACCATAGCCAACATGCTACATTCAGCAGTCAATGTGAGCTACTGTGAAATAAAGAGCACAGATTTCTCATTTGGAAATGCTTCTTGATGAAGCATAAAAGGAATTCAGATAGAAGATTAAAGAACTTGAGAACTAAAGAAAAATCTGCATTAACCTTTATGCCTGAAAAAGAATGAATTTTTTTTTTTTTTTTTACTAGAAGAGTCATGGCAGCCTTTATTCAATTCTTTTAAGTCTTGGTTAAGAAAAATGATGCTATTAAAACATCAAAAATGATCTCTCCCTGGTAGTAGACAGTTAGCTGTAATGAGGTTTTGAGAAGAATAAACAAGTTCATTGCAGGAAAATATTTTATGATAAACCCAAGTATGAAAATGTGTCTGGAAAAAGAACCCATTTAATAACTCAAATGCCTCTATTCTAAAGCCTTTTTGTTCAAGAGACCTATAAATTTTTATTTGTTGCAATCTGGCATCAAGGTTGGACATACATTCTTAAAATAACACAAGTAAGATTCATTATTACTTTTTAAAAAAAGATTTTGCATTAAATAAAAAGGGCAGACAACTTGAAGAATTTATTCTTCAATGTTAGAAACAGTAATATGCAAATGTTTAATGTATGATGTCTTTAATCTTACTGAAGCAAAAGAGGACATTGCTCTCAAATGTCTAAGTGCTACAGACAGCTGAATTTCTCTCTCTGGTGGTTGACAACAGAGCTCCATTCTCTCTTTGCCAAAGCAGATTGTTCCTGACAAGATGTTTCTATCTAATAATTAGAGGTAAATAATAATTTTCTGTTTATTTGTGGTCTTGTTTAAAAAAAGAAAAAAAGCTGGAACTACCAGTCACTGTGGAAAACAAACACTGTCAGAAGAATAAGGTACCAAATGTTTATGTGTAACCAGTGGTTTTGGTACAGGTTGAATGTGGCAGCAAGGACCTTCACTCTGGAACTTTTGGAGGCATCATTCACGAGCCACTGCTGGACCTGATAGCTCTGCTGGGTAATAAACACATCATTGCTGGGGAGCCCAGTGATCAGCCTAATGAAGGGCAGGGGCATGTTTCATTGTTGTAAGGCAAGTCTCATTACAGCAARATTCCCAGGTTTCCAAAGCTCAACACAGCTATGGTGGCAGCAGCTGAGGAAGGGAATGTCCCCAAGTAAGGCCAGCACTTCAGACATGTTAGGCTGATGCACTCATGTGTCAATCAAGAGCATTTAAGGATTACAGGCAGCTTTAATACACACACACATAGCAAAACCTGACTTTTTAATGTTGATTTGTATCTCAGTAGGAYGATGTTTTCATGTCAGAAGCTGGGCTGACACATCACACACTAAGTACAAACGGCAGCTCCAAGGTTTTCTTAATAAATATGCAAATATATCAAGTCAGGCGTTGCAACTTGACAGATGCAAGCAGTTGTTAGGCTTACTAATTTGGTAAAGAGTCAGGTAGAAGGGAAAAAGTGTTATGACTGCCAAGGGGAAGAAACAGGTTCCACTTGTACTGATATTTGTATCTTGTTTTGTAGACAGCCTTGTGGATTCCACAGGTCGTATTCAGATCCCTGGAATCTATGATGGTGTTGCTGTGCTGACAGAGGAGGAAAGGAAATTATATGAATCGATTGAATTTGATCTAGAAGAACATAGAAATAACTGTGGTGTGAAAAAATTCCTCTATGGAACCAAGGTAACATAAAATCTGTAAAAAACTCGGCAGAAAGAATTTAAATCACCTATTTGTAGCATTTATATATAAAGCTAAGTGAAAGATCTTTTCACTCAATGGCAAGCTCAAGATAAAATAAAGGAGCCCTGAGAAGTAAAAGGTAAATAAAATTAGTCCRCTGAAAATGTAAGGCACTGAATCTGGGGAACATGATCTGAAATATGAATCATCAATGAAAAGGAATAATGCAAAACTAACAGTATAGCTCTCCCTTCCTCGTCTACCCCTTCTCTCCCCCCAAGCCTTATCAGCCAAATAAAATATGCACTAAAATATTTAGGTTACATAGTGGGAAAGAAGTTGTATTCAGCTCTGAAAAATGGGAGGCAGCTTTCAGCAGTTATGTTTCAGGTGGTTTTTATTTGTTTAATGCAGATTTTGATGCCTGCCAAGCCTGTCACAAAAAGGATCCAAAGCTTCTCCTTACCAGCAATTAAAAATTATATCCTAAATAAAAAACCAGCAGGTAAGGGCTGGCTTGGAAAGATCTCTCTGCACTAGAGTGGCAGTAGGGAGAAAGGAGTTGATTAATTTTTTTATCACCAACATAATTATACTGGTGTAAGTAAGTTCTTCTAACATGATTGCTCTTATTTCCATGAAAAAGCTTTCAAATTAGGTTAAGATAGAMTGTAAGAATCAGTAATACAAAAGTATAAATGTAACTACACTATCTGAGTTTTGATGCTTTACCTATATGAGGATGAATTGATGTAAACTTTATGTGTACATAAACATCTAGTCTCATAAAACTGAAGGAAAGCAGCAGCACCCTGATATTTTGCATGAAGACCAGAGTATAATTTAAATATTTCTCCTCCTTTCCTTAGAAAAATAGCAATTTTATTTCCCCTCCGCATCTTCTCCAGAAAAACTTGTTTGCTGAAAATTATCRTATTACCTATTGTATTATTTAGTGCTCATTGGCAGATTTTTTTCACTGGTGTCATCTGGGAGTGGTCTGGCTGAATGGTTTTTCCAGTGACAAGTTCCAGGATAAACAAGCAAGTCAGATCAGAAGTTGTTCTGATCCTACTTTGCACTAGGAAAATTTACTTCCAAGATATTTTAAAGCAATGCTCTACTTTTCTTATTTTTCATGAAAAAATTTTACCCTCCAAATCTTTCTATGACTGAAAGTAGTAGTGTTTATTTAAAATGAAAATRCATGTGCATGGGTTTAAATTAAAGATCAAACATCTTTAAAATATAGTGGTTTCCAAATACACATTTTAGGATGGAAAAAGCTTGCATAGATCAATTGTGAATAGCTCCAGTGTCATCCCTCATATTTTAAAAAAAATTTTTTTTTAAAGGAAGAAATACTTCTACACCTGTGGCGCTACCCCTCTCTCTCTATTCATGGGATTGAAGGAGCTTTCCATGAACCAGGAATTAAAACAGTCATTCCAGCAAAAGTAATTGGCAAATTCTCAATCCGTCAGGTCCCCCATATGGATCTCTCAGTTGTGAAACAACAGGTAAGAGACAAACATTTTCTTTGGTCTCTACTGTGTAAACTAAGCCCCTCTTAGCACTTCCCAAATTTAGACTTGTGGAAACTGAATGTTTCTAGCACTTAGTTGTTTCCAAGGGAAGTGGGAATGTGGGTATAAGMTTGAGTTGTAAGAAGATGAAAGCTTCTGACTGCAAAGTGTTTCCCCTGCAGGTGGTGGAACACTTGGAGRGTGTCTTTTCCAAGAGGAACAGTCCAAACATACTGAAAGTGTCCATGCCTTTGGGTGCAAAGCCCTGGCTTGCTGATGTTAATGATCTACTATATAAAGCAGCAAGAAGGGCAATAAAAACAGGTGTGTTCTTTTTTTTTTTTTTTTTTTTTAGTTCTTAATGTGTTTGTAGCTGTGCAGGGAAATTTTGCTCATCAATAGGGCAAAAGAGATTTTTACATTTAATTCTGCTGCCACTTATCCCTATAAATCTCTTTAATTTTGATAGAGCGACTCATAAACATCTTCCATACCTTGCTAAATTGGGATATGGTTAATATAAATAGCAAAAAAAGACCTAATTTACTTATTTTTGCATTGATAAAAAAACAGAGGTTTGTAGAGCGCAGCTGATTCTTTGAATCAATTGGCTACACACTCAAAACCATTTCTACTCAGAAGCTCTTAGTATCAGCTCTTTGCTTAAATATATGGTAGCAGAGAAAAAGCACTTTGATTTTACCCAATTATTAATTAATTCTTTCCATGTATTTCAGTTTTTGGAGAAGATCCAGATTTTATTCGTGATGGCTCAACAATTCCTGTTGCCAGAATGTTTCAGACTATAACACAGAAAAGTGTGATGATGCTTCCAATTGGAGCAGCCGATGATGGGGAGCATTCCCAGAATGAGAAAATAAGCAGGTTTCTTTTATTTGTCTGYTTCTGCTATTAGACAAGGGGGGARAACTGAAGTCCCWTG